AAACTGCATGGCACAGTATCAAAGGCATTTCTGCAGTCCAAAGGTCAGGTGATGGTAAAAGGTTGCTGAGAAACAGAGCTGCTGGATGGACTTTCATCTGTGGGAGGCAGCTGGAGTCTCCAAAGAGGCAGTGCTACTCACGGCTGCAGGCACAGTGGGGCTGCTCCAATATGACATTTCACTTCCAGATCTGCCACAGTAATGGCATTTTAGCCACTTTTAAAGCAGCCAGACCGGCCTTCCCCGCACTGCTGAAATGTTTATAGGCGGCAATTTCTTTATTGTTTGGATTTATAACAGTGTCTGAAGCAGATTGGATATGTTGTCGATGTGGAGACGGCAATTGAGGGCCAATGTGAAATTGACTGGCTGCTACACGCGGGCATTTACGCACTACACAACACAACACAACACAACACAACACAACACAACACAACACAACACAACACATCACAACACAACACAACACAACACAACACATCACAACACGTCACAACACAACACAACACAACACAACACAACACAACACAACATAACACAGGACCGGGCAGAACATCAACCTCTTCGTTTCCTCTGAGGAGCGAAGCTACAGCGAGAAGAAGAAGAGATCTTGAAATTAACATAAAAATGTATTTTCCTCATTTTGTGATTCCCAGCTTAAAAGAACCAACAGGAGGAAAGCATATACACATGCTGGTACAAGATCAATTTGTATAGCTCTTATCACAGTTATTTATTTATTTCAGCTCGAGTGTGCGTCTCCGCTCTCTGGCGGGGAAATGGTCAGTATAGCTTTACTTTGAAGTCCCCTCTGAAATTATTTGTCCCATTTGCTTGAAGCAATTGCATTTGCTGATAGTTGCACATGGTATTTGTTGTTATGTCGCGGGCGCTACAGTATTCAGACTTTGTTTGATTAAAGGAGAGCAAAATGCACTGATGCCGTCTGGTAACGGCGCGTATCATATCAAAAATATGGAAATAAATATTCATGTGAAAAAGGGTTCCGCCATCACCCCTGTGACTGAACCGGAGAGGATTGGATCCCACTGAGTATATTATTATGTGCAACTGTAGCTTGAGTTTCCATTGCATTTGAGCTTGACATTGAAATGTGAATAAAGAGAATAAGAGCTGCACTGATAAAGTAACAGATAGTCTGTTTACTATTTTTTAAAATTCTTAGTCTCTCAGATGAAATATTTTCTGATTGTCTCTGTTTTGTATCATTGCAAAAGTAATATATTTGAGTTTTAGACAGAAGCTTTGTTTGGTCAGATGGGTGTTAAATGTTGAGATCGGGACTCACAGACATTTCCTACATGCATATGAAACTCAAATCAGTTTCCTACAATAATACTCCAAACCTGATATAGTGTGTTTTCAGAGAAACAGATGTTCCCTTGCATTAATGATGGTAGAGGATATTGGAAAGAAAGCCTTCAAATCCACTGTGAGAGGTCATCGTTACATTTGACCTTTCTCTGAGATGCGTTTTGCCTCTGTGCCTCTGCACCGAGTCGTTTGATTAGAAATGTAATGTAAGCTTTCGACAATCACATGATGGTGGCATTCTCCCTCTGGACTGAGACGTGCCTGGATTATGATCTTAACTTGACGCTTCCTTTACGTAGCAGGAATCAAATGGAGAAACCAGTGAGGTTCACGTAAGCAGTCGGAGAGACATCATGAGCAAAGAAGAAATTAAAATGCACACATAAGCCCAATAATATGCGTTACAGACAAACGCTGCAGCCACACAGATACTTCCATAAAAACAACACACACATGCACAGTGCAGAAACTCCCGGCCTGCCTTACATGACTAAAATGTAGTGGTTGAATAATCAGTTGACATGCAGCTCAGGGAATTCTTTGCTTAATGAGTGCTTCTTCACATAAGCAGTTTGCCAGAGTTATCTCCAACATGAGACTGCTGTCAAACTGTCACCGGATCTCGATTTTAACTACCAACTTAATCACACAGGGACAATTTCACACAGAACACAGAGGCCTAATGCGGAGCTGCATCCTTCCAGCTAAATTATTGGCTTGAAGGAAAGTGGGAAAATACGTCTCTTCTTCACAGATATGTTATTGTATGTTATATGATCAGTTATAGCTATTCAGATTCATTTCTAATCAAGCAGGTGTATTTGAATATTTTACTCTAAGAAAGAAAATGCTGATGTGAGTCTGTGATACCCTCAACTCATCTCAGAACTGCTTTATACTTTTATTTAATTTTCAATGAAGAAGAAAGCTTCCGCACGTTCCTGCTAAAGTGACTCGTTAGTAGCAGAACAAGCCTTCGGACATTAAGACCTTGATTGGGGAAATATTGGCACAGGGGTGTTTAACCTCAGAAAAGAGGTTTAGAGCTCAAACATCACCTCACAAGCTTTAAGTAAGATTTAAAGACATTAACGATTCACTATAAGTTACTATTTCCAAGATTTATACCATCACTTGGCCTTATAGTCAGGACTGTAGGATACTCTGTGTGTCTTTTAATCACTAATTGTGGCACTAGCTTCGCAAAGAAATATCTGACCCTCTCAAAGCACATGTCTCTGAGCCTCCCTTTTATTGCCTTTGCTTCTCCTGCTCTGCTCCCCCCACTGGTACCAGCCATGCTGTGTGTATATGGCTGCCAGCAAAAGCAACCGTTCTGCCTGGTGCCTGGTTGATGTCTCCAGCTTGGTGGTGGTGGTGGTGGTGTTAACACACAGCTGCAGAGATTTGTGCCTTTTGGGTATAATGCCAGTCGAGGACCCGATGTGTGGCATGATTTGCTTGGGTTACTTTTCACACTTACAATACTAAGTGACTGATAATAGCATGGATATATGTTCAGTATTAATCATAGTAAACAGTTCGTGCTAAAGCTGCAAAATGTCAGCTGCCAATTTCTTTCCACTTCTTTTTCCTCCTCGCAGTTTTTCACACATCCGCAGGAGTCATGAGCTGCTGTGAGGGGGACCTCCATTTGCAGTGCGGCCCCCACTCGGCAAACAGCTGTTAATAAGAATGATAATCAGAAAAGACATTACTTATCCCCCACACGAGCATGCATTATCTGAGAAAAACAAAGTAGTCATTTTTCTCTTGTTTTTTTCCTCTTTAGGAAGCCGACTCGCCCGCGATCTATAATGGAGTAGATATTGCTCGGCCTATTGATTGATGTCTCCTTCCCCCCACTTTGACATTTGCTTATCCTCGTCCGCATCTACTGCTATTGACGTTCGCTCTATCTGGACATCTTCCTGAGCTGTTTTGTCATTTGTCACCTCTTAAATAAAAAGGATGGGAGGGGGTAGTTGTCAGTGATAAGACTTAATGATACCAACCACGACGACAGATTTAGACAAGCTCAGAGAAAGAACTCTGTCTGTAGAAAGCAGAGCACTGAGTTCTGATTAATTTCTCACTTTATACCTCTTATGGATCCACAGAGCAATTTTACCCACATTTTTCTATGTCTCTCATATGCAGACCAAAGAAGACCCATCCTGCACCCCCCTAACATGCATTCACTCATAACTGTGGTCAATTTACTGTAAATCCACTGAAAGCAGGCTTTTGGTTTAACACCTTTTAAAGTAATGTATTTGAAGAGCCCACTCCAAAGCCTCTCCTATCAAAAGCTACCATTTTCCACAATTTACCCTCAACTCTCCACTTCTTGGATTCAAACTGGTGAGATCAACACTTCCACATTAGAGCTGCAGCTCATAAAACACCCTCTGAGGGAGTTTTCAGGGTTTTTACTTTGCCAGCTCTTTATTTGTAGTGCGGTAAATGCCGCGCTTCCTTAACACGCATTTCTACAAACACAATCTGGCGCAGATTTTCTCCCCATGAGGTGGAAGACAGATTCTTCCTTTCCTCCCTCCCTCTTTCCATCCGTCCCTCCCTCACCCTGGCTCCTGCGGAGAGGCTATTATTGCAGCTAATTATCTACAAATAGGCCCAATATGACAAACACAGCCCTGTACCAGTGCTGGCTAAGCGCAGGAATCAGTCTGAGTGAGGATAAAAAGAATGAAAAGGAGGCGAGGAGAGACGGACAAAGAACAGGACAAAAGTCACAGTGAAGGGAAAAGAAAAAGAAAATGTGAATCAGAGATAATTGAGGAGAACACGATAAAGACACAGTGTGGAATAAGATGAGAGAAAATGTGGTGCTAAAAAAGATATAAGTGGGAGGCAGATGGGCGAAGAAAGGCAGTGACACCAAAAAAGAGACAGCATAGTAGGGACTAACACGGGAAAATGATCTTGTCTTTACAGAGTGTGACGTTTGTTGCCAATAGCAACTATCCTGCAATGTACAGGCCACATCCATTTAGGTCCCAGCATGCATCATGATCAGGGCAGCTGAGGGGTCTAAGGCTGTCTGTCTCATTTCCATAGAGAAACTCATTTACTAGGAAAGCATGGAGGGCTATGACGCCTCAATGGGTGCTTGATTAGATCCTCACCTCTGATACATATGAATATTTATCAGTGTTGAATGAATACACATTTGCTCTGCTTTCATCTGGATCATCCTGAGAGTCCTCCATGTTCCCCTCTTAATTTTATTCCAATGAATATGTCAGGGCTCCCCACAAAGTGACAGCACTCAAGATAATCCGGTGATTGTTGCACCGCGGCGATGATCAAAACTTACTTTAAGTTTCACAAAACGCACCAGGATTTTGTCTTGTTGTGTTTTATTTACCATGGAGACAGTGGCTCTTAAAGAGCTGACGGAAACAAATGCGGGGGAACGGTAATCAAAGCAAACGCAAAAAGGACGTGTTTGGAATTCATTGCTGCCATAGATTAGTGTTTGGCTGCAGAACTGAAGCTGCAGGTACGACACGGATGCCAGGACAAGTTGAAATCACCGAGTTATTCCTGTCCCGAGAGCCTCAAACACAGCTGACGCACACAATCACAAGCACACCCACTCTCACTGTGAATAGCAGATATTTTTAGTGAGTGTAACTTACATCACTAACTCCGGCCTCCACTATCTTCAGGCCTGTCTCCTTCTCCAGCTGCTGCTTCTGTTGGACTGCACAGGGAGACAAAAGCAGAGGAGGTGGTGAGTATGAGCGCTGGATGACAAAGTAGCAGATTTTTCACTTCCCGAGGCAGAACAAGCGGCCAGCGAGAGTGAGAATGATGTGATGGATCTCGCAGCGTGAGTCAGATGTCAAACTGGTCATAGACAATGACGCACACGCACACACACACACACACACACACACACACACACACACACACACGATGAGTTAAATTCTAACTTCAGTGTGGTACCATGCCCATTATGACAAACATTACATGCTGGATTTATGCTTGGACACAAGAGCTCAACAGGAGGTTTGAGTTCAGAGTCTGCGATTTCACCTGCAGATTAGACAGGTGCATTATATACGATGAGGTTGTATCAGACCTTCAGGATAAACAGTGTTCACATTATTTCATTCACCTTGCAATACAAGCGATAGTGCAGGACCGACTTCGTTACTCCCTTAATACGGAATGTGTCCATATTGAGAGTCTGATGTAACTGAGGTCGTGGTGAGTGGATGGTTTACAAAAGAAAAATAGTTTTCTGTTATGAGAAGATAATGGCAGCTGTGGCTCAGGAGTTAGAGTGGGTCGTCCACTCACCAGAAGGTCGGTGGTTAGATACATGCCAAAGTGCCCTTGGGTAAGATACTGAACCCCAAATTGATGTGTGATATGAATGTGAGTGTGAAGGAGTGAATGGCTATATACAGATATTGTTTACTCATAAGCCCTTTTTTATATTTTCTGTAGTGACCCTGAAATGTTGTTGAATTATGTCGGATTTGCCGAATTTTGTGGCCACTGAAGGTAAACAGATGCATGAAAGAAGCTTTAGCAGGTGTCATGGTCAGCAAGGGTTGGCATGCTCATATTTTTTAATCAGCACCAAACAAAAAGCACAGCTACGACTGATGGGAATGTCGTTTTGCAGGTTTTTAGTCAAAAAACTAACATGACAAATTGAAATATTAACCTGTAGGATGAGATGTCAGAGAATCACCAAAGCTATTAATATTAATCCTGAGAGGTGGATACATGTTTCTTTCTAATTTCATAGAAATCCATCCAACAGTTGGTGGCACAAAAGACTTGTTTACAATTCACAACAATGCTGTTGTCCAAAGTGTTGGATGTTGCCATTAAAGAGCCACACATCTACTGGCGTGAAATATAAAATGCAAAAAAAAAAGCGAGGCATTGTCATCCTCACATACATTGAGCCGGAGTTATTGAAGATTACAAGAAAGCAGATGAAGTGTTCGTACATTCACAGCACACAATAACTCCAGCTCCTCCCTTTGTTCCCGCAGTAATTAATACACCACCCGAGTTTGATCCACACATCTATTGATCTAATCAAATATGCCATGCTATTTTCTGAGCTTTGTTCACAAAATATATTGTCATGCAAATCAAACCAAAGTGAGGCAATGTTAAATATCCATCATTCAAGATCACACATTCTGCCGACTCCTTTCACCTCCTGTCCTCAACGCCCGTCCTCACTTTGATGGAAACATTTATATTGAAAAACAAAATCAAAGAGGCCTTAATAGATTACGCCAAATTATAGAGAGAAAGGGGGATAAAAAAAAAAGATTTTAATTGAGTTTGTTAGCATGTGATTGGGATTGGTAATAGGAGGAAGAGGGAAAAAAAAAGTGAGAGTTAAGGAGAGAAAGAGAAAGCGAGCAGGTCCTTTAAATCCTATTTCCCCAGATGAAGGCTATGCAAATGACCCTGAAGAGCTGAACCCCACCTCACACTCCAAAATTTGGCGAGGGCCCTGTTTAATTAGTATTTTAATCTATCCCAATGATTCCACTCAGTCCACAATGTATGCAGCATTCCATCTAATTAAGCACGCTACTTTTAGGATAATCATCCATCTCCCCTGCTCTTCCTCTGTCGCCTCTTCTCTTTCTGGTTATTACAGATCCTGCAAACGCTCATCACCCCATCATCTCATCAACATGGCAGCGAGGGGGGACGTCTTATATTTTAGGTGTCAGCCCGGGGTTTCTGATGGAGAGCGGCTAAACGTCGGATGAATGCGGTGGCGAGAGAGATGAAAAGGTCAAATATACACTCAAAGTCTATAAATTAGAAGTAGGCAGAGGAGTGAGAAGTGAGCAGGGAGAACTCTTCCCCTGTGTATTCAGTCGCAGACGTATGGGCGCTCCACAGATAGCTCCGGTACCTGCTCAGTTCGGGTGCTATTTAAGAGAGGGGTAATGAGTGAGGTAATTGGGCCCAGCTGGGTGAGGGCGTAGGTGGTGGGGGGGATGCAAAGCTGCTAAAAGGTCACACAACGTTTTGGTCCTAATGAGGAGCCCTCTGGGGTCGCAACACATCATGAGTCAAACTACGAAAGATTAGCCCGGAATCGACACACACAGACACACACAGACACACAACACAGTGGCTGCAGCTCTAGGTTTGACTGACATGTTGACATTAACCGTCTTAAAGTGAAACCAAAGTAGCCTGAAGGTCAGTATTTACTTGTGAATCAAAGCCGAGGTCTTCTTCAATCAACGCTAGGGAACGGACGGCCCCCCAACAGCCACTTTAAATGTAAATACAATGTACTTTCCGAGCTCATTAGCTGGCAACTGGATGGATCTGGGTTGCGGAGAGACTCCAGCCAATAGATTGCTTGTTCTGTCAGAGACTGTACAGATAACAGCCTGCAGCATCTCTCTTTGGTCACCCCTTATATTAACCTCCCACTGGAGCTCACTCTCTTTCCTTTTTTCTGGCACGCACACAGATTTTGTAAGCCTCAAATTAGCCACCAAATACTCCTGACAGACTGTGGAAAAGAGATGTCGGGTCTCATTTCAGAGAGGCTCCTCCAGCCATTTTAATAGGCATTGTCTGAGTCTACCAGGTCTGATCTCTAATATCGAGATCTGATCCCTGCTGCTCATTTGATCTTTGCGGTTTCCGAGTCACATTGAGCCAAATCATCTGAAGTTCAGAAGAGGACAGCAAAAAGGCTTCTTTCATGTTCATGTGCTTTCTATTGAAATTCCATTTATGTACAGTTTTATTGCTGATTATTTCCTGATGATCTGTTCAGTACAAACGTAATGAATGTTGATCACTAGTATTTTGTGAAGAAATGTCTTTTGGTGGACAACAACGTGGCTAATATTCAATATAATAGCAATTAGAACCTGAAACATCTGAAGAACCAATATTAAAATCATTATATACCCACAATTATTCTGTATGAGATGTTTCCAGATTTCTGAAATTATGACTGTCTTCAAAATAAGCAGTTTAAGTAATAATACTTCTCATTAGATTATACAAATTCAGACTATTTACATTTTTATAGCAATAACCAATTAATTTCCCTTCAGGTTTCCCTTCAGATAATTAAGTAAGTACCTTGCAAGTTGCTCTTCTGCTATTCTTACAGAGAAACTGCTCCGAGTTTTTGCTGTATCATTAAACTTGATATTACCATCAGAAACTCCAAGTCGACCAGTACCGAAATCTCAAGGATTAAAACTTTAAATTAGAATTTTAAAGTAGGTCTGTTCCCATCCGACGCAGCTCTATATATAGTACATTTATTAAAGCCACGTAAAATGTATGCCTCTATGTCTAAATTATTTCAGCGAGATCAGCATCTAGGATTTTCATTTTAAAGATTCCACACAGAAATGTGCTTCGATTTTAACACCATCACTTTGCTTCTGTTTAGCATCGGTAAAATTCAACAAGGTGAAAAGAACGAACTGCAAAGAAACTTGAAAAATCGTCAAGGACTCACCATTTCAATCGTCAGCCGACAGAACGACTCTGAACATTGTCCCCTTTCACGCACGCTAACGAGTGAAAACACAGGGAAAAACAAGCTTGATTTTAAGTGACCTTTAAATTGCTCAGTAGCAGATGCGCTCGACACAAATTATCAGGTGGCAAGATATAATTTGATTAAAACGTTGCTTTTCTCCACCATATGCTGCAAACCGAAGCGATTGCGTAGCGTCCTCATCATAGATTCTAATAGCAGTTCAGAAATGATTATCATAAAGTCATCAGAGCTTAAAGTCATGAATATATATATTCATTTTTTCTGATACAAGACAGGGTTGTTATTGTTAGGAGCAATACAAATTCAGCGTCGGGAGACAAATCACCCACTGTAGGCTGTAAGTATTTTGTATTTCAACGCGGCACAGCAGCCGCTGCCGTCACATGATTGTAATGTTCCCTCTTTGGCCTAACGGGGGTTTATAGTTGACAAAATACATATTTCACCAGCCTCTGATTGATCTGTTAATATTGAATAACATCCACATCCATTCCATCTATCTCACCCCCCTCCCTTCCCCGGCTCCTCAAGTCGTCTATTCACCACTTCCATCCCTCCATCCGTCACTCCAAACAAACAAAATGAAAGTGTTTATTGCGGAGGAGGGCTGATGCTCACGCCTCTCCACAGCCGTTAGCCTTATCAGCTGGCAATCGCTCCGATATTAAAGCTGCCATTACGCCCATCACTTTCCCCCTGCACATATGATGGCTGTCTCAACCTATCAGAGCGGAGGGGGACGGTGGCAAGGAGAGGGAGAGGGGGAGGAAAAGAAAGGGAGAAGCACCTGATCCCCCCCCCCGCCCCTCTGACGGATAAGATGCACGGCACTTTTCAGTCAAAATCCAAGGCGCGAAACAAAAAGAATAATATTCCTTCAATGTGTGAAGAGCCACAGCGCTGACTTCCACGCAGCAGCATATTCATGTTTTTAATCATGTATGACCCCTTTACATCGGACGTGTGCACACTGGAGCTTACCAAAATGTAAATCAGTCTACAGATACTGCTGCTGCTCTTACAAGGATTAGTTTTCTGTTTTCTTTACCTCCAGTGCAGCTTCTAGCAAAATCATCATTGAAGATATTCTACAAAAATGACTTTTTCACGTGAGCACCGATTGTTACGGTAAAGATAAACATCTTGTCAACAACTTAATATATAT